GACGGTGTAGAGCAGCAGAAATGGTAGCGCAACACAAGCACGCAACATGACGAGACTGTAGAGTTGGACAATAACGCGTCTGAGGCAGATGAGACCGGCCGAATGGAAGAGCGTCGAGAGTGAATGTGGTTCGGAAAGGACGACTCGTCGCCTCGTTGACAGATGAACAACCAACACCGGCCAGACAATCGTCAAGGCCGTCTTCGCACCAATCAGTCGGCCAGTTAGTCAGTGAATCTGTCTGTCCGTCTGTCTGTACAACCAATTGTCCTTCAGCACAGCAACAATGAAACTTTAATTTTCGTATAATCCGTTTGTCTGTCCATCCGCAAGTCAGCCAGACAACCGGTCAGCAATACGAGCATTCATTTCATTGGATAGTCGACGGTCCGTCTGTCGGTCAGGAGGTCAGGCAGCTTAGATCACAACCAGACAGGATGACATATCAGACTTGAGCAAATCTGTGATAGCAAAAGATAGACACATTCACACACATGTACATGCACAGCTGGACATGTCATTGGTAGAAAGCACGAAGGAGGTTCCGATTGCAGTCATGATTGCACAACGACTTGTCGGCATTTGTGTGCACGACTGTGTATTTGTAGGCATGCATGCATGTGGCAGGAGGGCTGAGTGGGTGGATGGATGGAAAAGAATGGCAACATGGCCTCCCGAATGGAAGGAATGGAACTTGGAGAAAATCCATTTCAGCATCGACAAGAGACATGAAGAAAGTGCAGCACGAAAGTCACGAGGTGAAACCGCAGCCGAGGCGTCAACTGAACAATGTACAGAAATAATGATTCGGGCAAGCAAAGAGAGAATGGGTGAAACGAGCTAGCGGATAGCATGTTTCAATTGCATGTGAGGAGCAAGAGTCTCTAAAGCCACAAACAGCAGAAAAGTAGCCAAGATCGCAAACTTCGATAACGTAACGCAACAGTTTAACGACGTTGATCTTACCGAACTCGTTAAATAGTTTAACGTCGTTCAAGTCAACGAAGTCCATACTCGAAAGGTGCTGAAGTTGCCGACATCGCCAGACAGTCCAAAGTGGCAAAAGTAGCCAATGTTGCTGAAAGCCAGCGAGGTCATTACATTTTGTGAATACTCTGAAGTCTATTTTTCCAATAAAGTATTGTTTTTGTGATGAGACGTATTCAGCCAATTTCGTTTAAGGTGAAGGAGGACTGGTAGAAGAAGAATTTTCCCACAATCATATGAGTTAAGCTGACGTTTTCCATTGAATTTCACATAGCCTTGCTTTCCCAAATTTTGTTCTCATCCAAGCACCAATGGACTGCAGTTTCGACCTCGCTTCGGTCTTATAAACACCCTCAGCGGGAGTCGAACCGCGACCGATGCGAGGTCCAAACTGCAGTTTACTTCTGCCTGGA